AAAGGAAGAAATATTATATAAATTACCCTAATTATTCTCTCGTGTAATTATAGTAAGGTAAATACGCCCTAATAAAGCAAATACCTATATCATCCTAACCTAATATTATAAATACAATAATTGTGTTACGCCCTCACGAATTAAGCTTTGCTAAAGGTTTTTAAAGTTCTAAACTGGCGAAAACGTTGGTTAAAATAAGCGTTTAATCATCATGAAAACCGGACTTCTTCCAAGGTTTCATTTCAATTTCAATCTGAATACCAGTATTGTCAGTCTTTTTTGACCTATATGAATGAATGATTTCGACTTTTTTTGTTTTGCTAAAGATAGTAGCTAAAGCTTATACTGTAAAGGCTAACGTTCTCAGTGCTTAGGAATGGAGTTGCTATTCAAAATATATTATTTGATAACATCTATATAATTTTGATATGAAAGAATTATTAAATACTACTATTACATGAACAAAAAATTCATTCAGTTTACTATTACAATAAAGATGCATATTTTCATGCAATCCCTTTATCTATATAACCTATGGGCATTGGACAAAACAACATAATAAAAAATCTTAATATTATTGTATTAATTGTAACGTTTGTTTCGCTTGGGTTGTCTTAAAGAAACTGTGCGATGGGCGCAGCTGAGCTCATTTATATTTATTCGAATTTGATAAATTAATATTAAACTAGTGTTATATAGAAGTTGTAAGAGTTGCATACAATGTACACACCTCTGGTACCTCGAGTTATATATAAGTAACAATAATATTGCGTACAAAAGGTACCAGGGCGTATACCCAGTTAGATAGAAAAGTCCTAACTCTGGGGTAAACGTTCCAGTAAACCAATCGGTTGAGGCGTCGACGTATATCGATGACTTCCGGACTTGGCGTCTCTCCATTTCACTCATTTTCATTTGCCAAATCTTTTTTGTACCACGAAGACGACTCTACTGAAATATAGTATGGATTAGGTTTCAGAGAGAAAGTGTCTAGTGTAATTCAATATTTCTGGCAATAAACTCGAATATTCCTCCACAATCACACAAAACAAAAGGTACACATAAACTGTTCGCATTTGTGTCGTACATCTAAAAATTAATTAATGTTTAAGCCGTTAAGAGGTTTAGGCATGTTTAACGTAACGACATTGTTACAACAAAAAGCCTCAGTAAAAAGTCTAAATTCGCCCTTGAATTGAAAATTAACAAAAAATTAATTGAAATTTTTTTTGCCAACATGCCACAGACGTGTTCCCTTCGGGCGTTTTTACATTTTTTCTATGTTAAATAAACATTGTTTCAAGCGTAATTTTAAAATTACAACTAGAGACGTGGTCTGGTTTTGATACGAGTACTTTTTGAATATTTTGAGTGATAATGAGAATGTTTTTTTTTAGCGCGATAACATCCTATCATTAGCTTGGTGACAACGCTAGTTGGCCCGCGAGTGTGTTGGTGACCTTTGCGGACGATGATCATTGTATTAATTTAAAATACCTCTATACTTCACAATCAGTTGTGGAAAGACCGCATACAACGCAGAGCGGTTCGAATCCTCGACGACCAATCCCTCTCCTCGGCTTGATCCTTTGGCGTTGCGTAGAGATGTGGGGTCACTCTGCATCTTCTACCGCATTTACCATGGAGAGTGTTCAGAGGAGTTGTTCGGATTAATACCTGCAGCTGAGTTTCATCATCGGACGTCGAGGCAGAATTCGAAATTCCAGCCGTATCACCTCGACGTCCGCCGTTCCACAACTGATCGTTTTTCATGGCAGTTTTTGCCGCGCACCACCACTATGTGGAACCAGCTGCCCACTAAAGTATTTCCGAACCAATTCGACTTAGGGTCCTTCAAGAAAAGAGCGTATCAATTCTTAAAAGGCCGGCAACGCACTCGCCAGCCCTCTGGCATTTAGAGTGTCCATGGGCGGCGGTATCACTTAACATCAGATGAGCCCGTTTGCCCCCCATTCTATAAAAAAAAAAAAAGACCAAGTTAGGAGTGGAATGTAAAATCCTTGAGTACTTGTGCTATATACTCATACATCTCTTCGAAACAAACATAATTTTACGTAGTAGATATTCCATATCTTTATTTTCTTTATAAATAGATAGGATTAAAATCAAGTACGGTAAATTGAAGAGGTTTCATCTTAATAGGGCTAAAAAGTGGTGTTGTCTATATCAAACAAAACGGACATTTAAAATGCACTCGAAATTGGGGTTTCATTGTCTATCAGATTTCAAAAGGTGCCATGGGTTGTTGGAAACCAAACACGGTTAATTGTTGAGTGGTTTTATTTTATACGTGGACCTAACTTTTTTGTAATGAATACATATTAAGGTTACACAAACAACTTTCTATATTCATAATTTCTATAGGCATATTCATTGTTAATTTAATGTGCGTTTGTAAATTTGTAAAAAAAAAAACTATCTGCCACTTTCCATACAAAACCAATAAGGCGACATATATTCGGTATATGTCGGAGCCATGGCGCTGGTATCAGCTACAACTGTGTCACATAGCGCGTAAATTGACAACGTCAACGGCTAATCAGTATATAACCGTTGATATTTGTGGTTCATTCGTTTAGTCCATGTTGCTAGATCTATAAATTACCGACTATTTGATAGTCAGTAGTAATAGTAATTTTATACTCATTATTATTAATGCAGAGCAATGGCGTTAGTGTCAGCTGCCATTGTCATTATCATAACATCAAAGTTAAATTACAGGTGGTTTATTTGACTTTTCAATGTTGCTAGATCTAAAAAAATTAAGACTCTTTCATAGTCTATAGTAATAGTGACTCCATAGTCATTATTATTATATAAGAGTAATTTATCATAACCTCAAACCATATCATTCAAACCTCTGAAACTTAAAGACAAAATTAATTGTATAATACTCGTTCCTATGACTACCGATGGACTCTGTAGTCGATTCGGGATCGGTCGCGGAACAAGATATGAAGTACTTTTTTATACAAACACTGGTCGGTGCGGCCCTCAGTTTTATTAAGCAGCGAAACGTCTGATGCCAATAAACAAATTTTTTGACTTCATTATTTTCAACTATTTATCTGCAGGTCTCCTGTATTTGTTAAAATTCTGGTCGTGTGTCGTTAGACGACAATACGTCATATCGTTCATCATCAGTTTTTACCCTCCACTTTCTACCTTCCTTTCTCCACGCAAAATTCTTGAGGACTGGTTCCCCGTTCCTGCACCATTTTTTAGGTGCTGCCCCCGTTCCTGTGACTCTCTTCGTCCATAATCCATTCCCTTATCTCACTCCGTCATATATAATATTCATCTTTTCATGAAAAGGACCATTATGTATTTAAAAGTGGTTGAGAGGAATGACAACACTGACAATTAATATAGTATTGAAGAAAACTGATCCTAATCCTAGTATGATAGATAGATTTTTTTTTGCGAAAGCACTCTTATTATGAAGAGCCTTTAGTTAAAAGTATGAAAAGCCAAGCATTTGTAATAATAAATAATTATTGTTGCCTATGACAAAAGTTTGTCAATTATTATTAACTAATTTTAATCTGTTAAAACGTATCTTTTAAATGGATTTATTTAACCAAATAGGATTAACACGTATCTTTACTTAAACCTATGTTCTCCCTAAAAGCCTTACATGATTTTAAATAATGAAAAGCGTACAATGAGGGTGACATAATAAATTCACATAATTATGCGCTGACCCAGTTACTGAGATCGCTCATGTTACTATTTATGATTAGGGGACATATTTTTGGTCAAAATTAAACTTTTTAAGACTCAGTGGTTACAGGTATTTCCCAAATTCGTTTTGGTTTAAGATTCTTGACTTCGATATAGGTATGTATAAATATTTTTTGTTTTGTATTATCTGTTGTGTGTTGTGTATTGTGTGTTAGATAACACAATATCTATTAAAATTGTCTCCATTTCACAGCTCGGACGAGCGCTGTACAAGAAATCGAGTAAAAGAATTGCTAGAATCGAATACAAAAGGTTGAAGGCTCGAAACTAATAGTTTTCATGTACAACCCTCCGATTTCATCTAAATAACTGAATTAACTCATTAAATATGTCTATTAAATAAAAATATACCGTTCAAATTAAGGTTCTAATTCCACCAATTGCAAGTCTTCAACTGGATTTGACTTAAGGCTGAAAATATACCGTGACTTTGTAGTCGAATTTAATACGAAATATTATTAGAAAAACACTTTTTTAACGGATTTGAAGTTATGGTTATTAACATAACTTCAAATCCGTTAAAAAAATGTTTTTCTATGACTAAAAGTTATGTCAATAAAAGACAATACTATAACTTATTATTCTTATTTATTTAACTTTTTATTGGTTTAATCAGAACAGAGTCGTCGTATTTATAATCAGAATCAATCGTGTACCTCGCACACCGTTAGATCTTTCTCGTATCAATTCTTAAACAGGCAACGACGAATCGTACCTAAGTTAGCAAGTTAATTGTTACACATACAATAAAGTAAACAGTTTTAGGTGATCACTAGTATTGTCAGTTACTTATTAAAACTCCCTAAAACAGAGCTTTTAGAGCAGTGTTGGCCCAGTGGCTTCATAGTGCGACTCTCATCCCTAAGGTCGTAGGTTCGATCCCCGGCTGTGCACCATTGGACTTTCTTTCTATGACTATGTGCGCATTTAACATTCGCTTGAACGGTGAAGGAAAACATCATGAGGAAACCGACATGTCTTAGACCAAAAAAGTCGACGGCGTGTGTCAGACACTGGAGGCTGATCACCTACTTGCCTATTAGATTTAAAAATGGTCATGAAACAGATTCAGAAATCTGAGGCCAAGACCTAAAGAGGTTGTAGCGCCACTGATTTTAAAACAGAGCGTTTGCTGTAAACGTTAATCACACAAACATATGAATACCTGGTTGAATTATTAAATGTATTGTTATCACAACAGTCACGAGCACAACAACCTCCTAGTCTCTGCTTTATTATTTAATTGGTATTGGGAAACATAATTGCGCACTGGCTTCCGCAGAGAAAGTCGTTGAAGGGAAGGGTATTTGTTCAAAGTTTGTTTTATTTATGAATTCTGCACCTAATAAATAGGGGAACATTTTCTTTTCAAAACTATTATAAAAACTTATTGTATTTAAGCTTATATTCACGGATCCCTTCATATTAACCGATTGGCGAAGAGACTATCAAACTAAAAGATTCGCTCACTAACTGATGTCGATACAGCTAGATTTGTTTATTTTAGTTAATAATGACTTATGGCTTATTATTATGGGGTCATGCTGCTGATGTCGAAACTATTTTCATCCTGCAGAAAAGGGCTATTCGTGCAATCTATAATTTAAAATGTAGGGATTCTATGAGAAATAAATTCAAGGAAATTAATATACTTACCTTTCCCTCGCAATATATTTATGAAAATATTATGTATGTATACAAAAATAGTGATAAGATTACTAGAATAGAACATACGCACAATGTTAATACTCGGAACAAACGCAGGCTGCAATTTCCCCGTACTAGACTATCTAAAGTAATTCTTTTTTGGGAAAAGGGATACTTTTCTTTAATAAATTCCCAGAGACTCTTTTATCTCTGCCTTTTAATAAATTTATTATTAATTAAATTAAAAATTTATTATTAATTAATTTTTATTATAGAAAAGCTGTGTAAAAAGGCTTACTATAAAGTTACCGATTATCTAGTTGATAAAAGGGCCTGGGACTAGTGCTAGACAGGCTACTTCTAATTAATTTGCGATATTTGTTTTAAAATAAGTGTTGTTTGATGATTTGCTATTTTAAAAGAGTACCGAGAGTTTTTTACGGCGGCCTACACCCTCTGTCTTCTTCGTCGATGAGTAGAGATTAATAATTTAATGACGTGGAATAAGTGATACCAATATTTATCGAGTGAATGCTAAGCAAAACTTTATAAAAAAATTATGTTTTTTTATTCACATCACTCACTCAATTTGACAGTATAAGCTTAGCTTAAGTACGCTTTACAAATATCACTAAGCTTAACATACTTAAGTCTACTTTTGGATTAGCCATATTTAAGTAATTGTGATTTGTTAGAGACAGGCCAATATTTAATTAATTTAGTGCAATTACACTGAATGTCATAAAAATAACGATAAATAATAATTAATACGTAATAAAAGTTGTTTTCTCATATTTAAGGCTTAAAAGGTTTTTATTTTAATTATATTTAAAAAAAAACTATTATTGTCACTGCTCAGTTACATCAAAATAAATAGTCTATTATCACATTAAATGCCATAAAATTGGACAAAAGCCCGCTATCTTAAGAAGCCATAAAGTGCCCTTGACTATGAAATACAGTTAGCCAAATAACCGCGACACAATATAATATGGTGTGGGAACATACTTAACTACTAACTTTTTAGCAACGCGCTAAAAAGTTAGTCGAATTCTGATGATACCTAGTACCTACTGGGTATCAGTAGTTAACTAAGAAACCAAAGTTTTGATTCATAGAGTATTATGATAAAAACAACTACTATTAATCAACTGATCAAGTACGTTGGTTGCGAAATTATACTTCTTCTCTCAAGTCTAAGTAAGTCAGTTTTAGCGCTATTTCAACTCCCTAAAAATTATGATAAGTCTATCTGAGTCATGTTTTATCCTTATTGGTGCTAAGAATTGCTAAATGAAAGAAAATGCCGTCGGTACTCTTCTTTTTATTTGATTTTTACCTTAAAAAATAAGTTGTTAGGTTACTATTAAAATAACATATTACTAGAATAAGTTGTAACCTGTATTAGATTATCTAGTGCCTCAGCATCTTCTTCATCATTGGATGAGATTCTCAGCGTTAGTACAATAAATAAACCAACAGATTATAGTATCATACTGCCCGTGCGTGCAAACCATATAATATCTTTTGCCCTGTTATGCCAACAATATATTTACCTGCGCTATAAAAAACACATAAACTTGTTATTATATTTTTTTATGTGACAACCCTCGGCTTGTTGATTTAAGAGGTAATTTAAGGCTAACTTTAGCGTATTATTGTAAAAGGCCCTTTCTCGTTATCTTACGTTATCTGAGTACGAAAACTTGTGTTAATTTATTTATTTTGAATTAGCATAAAAGGGGTTGATATTTATATAAATACGTTAATGGAAAACGCTTTAAGTGCTATTTAATGTTGTAATTAATCATTAAGTTATTGTTTGTAGCTATATTATTATATTAGGCAAGGAAGTGTCGAGGTCTCGGTTATTTGGTTAATTCTAGCAAGATAGAACAATTGACGGCTAACGGTGATCTCTCGCTGGACTAGATTGCAGAAAAGCACTCAAAGTGTTTATCAAACCTATTTCTCTCAAATACATTATTACCATATGCTCAACCTACATAGTAATAATAATAACAAAAATTAGATAAATATAAATTTAAAAAGTTTGCTCCCTGTGGCAGTGTACCTTTAATGCTGGCATTTCCTCGCTGTATTGCGATGATTCATTGAGCGAGGAAAACACCAGCTCTGGAATCACTATCCACCAGATGCCAACTTAAATCTTTAATTAGTGCCTGTGCACTTGAACCCCAAGGCCGTGGGCCGTCTCTACTCCAAAGGGAACAAAATCAAAGTTGGAGAAAAGATTCTTATATTTGAACCGTTCATTATATTTCTCTCAGATTATAAGTAAGCATAAAAAAAAATTATGGGATAATATTATTTGCCGAAAGCAAAAAGGCGTCACAGGGCCCTCAAGAGTCTCTGTTGCTCCAATTAGTACTAAATCTATCACTCACCAAGCTTATTAATATTCCCGTGCTGGTGCTGATGATGATGCTGTTGTGGTTGCTGCTGCATCAGCGCCGGATGTGGCAGCTGCAGCAATTTGGGCTCCAACTTGGTGGCCGCTGCGACCGGGATGGGCCCGGCGTTCGTCATGGTCGTCATCGTCGCTGCTGGCATCATAATTGTTGACATGGCTAGCATTTTGACCTCACCACCCTAATTCTTACAACCTCATTTTTCTCTACACTAGTCTCCTTCTAGGTTAACTCTCCCGGAGAGTTATTATCAAATAATTATCACGTTTTGTTAAAAATAAAGGTTAACTAATCTAACTGCGTCTGTCATTGGAATTTATTAGATATCAACGTAATAATTCTGTGGCTGTACTTTCGATATTTGTAGGTTATTTAGTAACGTTAAAAGCAGTGTTATTTTGAAACGTCTTCATATTAAAAAAAAGTGCGTGCGTACAAAGTACATATGTCAGAAGTGAAACTTCTTTGGAAAACCAATTTTTAAATCTTGTTCATATTTATACAAATCTAAAACTTTAGATTTCCGAGACTTAGAGGGAGGGAAAAATGAAAATATGTTAGGAATTTAATGAAATTAATTGTCATTAAAATATTTAGTGTCGAAAATTAATACAAATAATAAATTTAATGCTTCGATAATAAAACACGTATTTTAATTTACAATTCGTCGTTTGAGATTTCAATAAATTATTTTGCATAAAATATAAAATACTAATATTTCGTAAATTCTCTTTACGAAATTTAAATTTTAAAAATATTATATAATGTCTGTAAAGTAATTTGCCCTTCTCACTCTCTCTCAATCGGCCTCAATCGGCCTCAATCGTATTTCAGAATTTCCTTTAATAATAACGTTTTACGTACTTTTTGATTACTTTAAGTAAAAAAGCAATTTTTCAAAGCTAAACGTGCTGAGTCGTGCCAAAATTGAATGTGTGCTAAAAATGGTATTCCGTAAGAAAATACTTTATATGCTAATGTTAAATTATGCGGGTGATTACTGCTTATTGAGGCGAAGAGAATTATTATGAGACTCTTTATTCAGTGCTGAAGAATGACTTCCCACCTAGTTTATCCATTTAATTTTTTTGATCATTAATAATTTGTTTTCGTATTTTTCAATAATGTATAGATTTTAGTTCATTTATCTTTGATCGTCTCATTTACAGAATGCGTTACAAAAATCACCTATGTTTGTTATAGATAAATTCGAAATCGATTCAAAACAGTACAGTATGTTAATATATAATATTAACAGTTAAAGGTTATATGTAATTATGTACGCATAAAGCTCTAAGTGACTTAGAAACCCACTTAGCCGTAAGTAAAAGCCTGCTGTGTTAACATTAAGGGCAAATATACACACATTACTAGTGGATGACTTTGTCAGCACTAGCTTAGTTGTAACTTAGCCTATTTACTCAGATTCTATCTGTAAAAATATATGTCCGGTGGATCATCTGAGGAACTGGTTTTGATAGGTTTGTTTATTCAGTACGCTTTATTCCTAGCAAAATAATAATCATGTTACTTACCTAAAGTATAGCCTGATGAAGGCTAAGGGACGTAAAGTATTTTTACAGTGAACGTTCCACTTCTGTACAAGTCACGGCGGAATTCGGTAATTCAACTGTACGTTTTAATGTCCACGCCCTTTGAGTACGGTTAGCAATTTAAAATATCGTAATTATTTAAACCGGATTTTCTTATTGGAAAAGACACAAGACTTATGAAGAAATTTAATAATCGAACCGCATAAACAGTTCCAATTTCCTAAAATTCGATAACAAATGTTCTTGATGTATATTTGTAAAAAGGAAATAAGATATATCATTATCGTTACAAACGTATATTATCTTAGAATAGAATAAAAATGCAAATAAATAAGAAAAAAGTTAAATTCTTTCAGCTCAACGTAGATGCAGTAAATATGTTTTTACGTAAGTTGCTGTCGCTACCGCTGTCACACAAAAAGGGTGAAATGTCGCCGCATTTGAGGACATTTGCCAAATTTTCGTAGAAATGTGTGTGTGTTAGGGTTGCCGTTCACTTTTAATATGATTTCGTATTTGTGAAGTTCCATATATATGCAACTTATATATAACGTATTTTAAATTACAATAAGACGTGGTTCACTGGCCACGTGACCACTTCATGTCAGTTTAGTGTATTGCTACCAATCTTATTTGAGAAGAAAGAACAATAGAGAATTCCGATATAGAAATACGAAAATTGTATAATAGATAGTAAAAGCGAAAAATGAATGCGGTATTTCCTTCATAAATAATTTATGTTTATGAGCCGTTCAGTGTAATCTAACCCTAAGTTAATACGCGAAAAGGGTCCTTGCGTTTGTGTGCGTGAGATCAATAAACCCCAGTAGAGATGTTTGTTGATACACTATCTTATGATAACACGGGCAGATTCGTTGTGGACTCGACGAAATATACGCGACTATCATATTTAAAATATGTACCGCAGTTCTGCCAAGTGCCATATCTACTTGATTATGGCAACATTTCAATAAGCGTCATCATTGATATGAATTATCTTTCAACTTGACATGGCACTTTCGCTCTAACCTACGAGAATAATAGTTTTATTTAAATCTGTAGTACTAGACAATAATCGGGAACTCGCAGCACTTCTTCACATCAACTCACCTAGAAGCTTATGTTTCTTTAAATAAACACGAAACGTTTAGATTATTTTTCTTACACTATTGTGAAGTTGTCATAGTGTTTCATGCAGAATGATAATGATTAAAATAGAAACACTTTTCCCTATTAACTGTGTCCGTTTTAGTAAAATTTTATCTTCTTACACTTCTTTATAAAAGAAACTGGATACACAACAGGTGATACACAAATCTTTCTTTTTCTCAAATTAGTAAGTTGATGAACTCTTGGTAAAGAATAATTAATATTGACAAATAATGGCTTTGTTTAAGATATCTAAGAAACCTCGATTGCTCTTGAAACAGCTCTCAACTAAATAGCTCTCAAGGCTCACCTCTTAAACAATAGATACTTAGGCGTTATTTAAGTATCAAATGGGGTTTAAGAGGTAAAGAAAATTGTAAGACAATTGGTTGCTTTAATCAGTACTTAGGTCGGGCAATAACTTGTTCTTATTGCTAAATTTAATTTAATCCCAACCCTATTTTTGTTAAAAAAACATTTGCAAAATTAAACTATAAAGATGCATATAACATATTTAATTTTTTGCACGCTTAAAACTTTGAAAATTGTAAAAATATAAGCGAATGAAAAATGTATTAAACTATCTATTGAATCTACTAAACATTTCCTATATATCTACTACGTGGTAGACATGGAACTCTTTTGACACCACAGGTGAAACTATAAATACAGCATATAACATAAAACGTATTTTCCTCAAAAAACCTATTATACATAAAAAAAAACGGCGTGTAAAGTTTGTATGTTCATACATAATTTCATAATAACTCAATGGACGCTATCACACATTTTCAGTATTTGTCCTTATGATTTGCCTTTCATCTGTCTCCATCTGATCCAACTGGAACCGCGTATGACAAAAATCATAAAAACAGTTGAACATGCAAATGGCTTCATGAATATAAAAAACAACGTTTGGATCGCGAGTTTTAACCCGAGTATCAAGACAAATACCTTTTTTGGGTCCGTTATCACCGTATAGAATACGCCTCTCACGTGAACATTTTTATACAATTTCCCCAGCCAGTGTCGCAACCACAGCTGCTCAAAACCATGGCTTACGATTTGTGCATACAAAATACAAAGACGATTAATAATTCTATGGAAAAAATATTCACATTTTGTTTGCAACCAGCCGCCGTATGATACTGTACGAATATAGTTAGTTATTTATCGAATTCAGATCATTAGTTAAAAAAATAATTCAGATCATTAGTTAAAAAAAATAATTCGCAAGCTGGGTAACAGTTACGGCAGACATATTATTGAAGTTATTATTACAAAATTAGCAATGTTTGTTTCAAAAACATATTCGTAAAAACCACGGTTTTAATAACATAACGAGATTTATTTTTGTAAGGCGTAGAGAATTTCATAAATAATAATTTTATTTATAAAGACGGACAATTGGATAAAGATATATTTCATTGTGTACGTTTGTTCGCTGGACTTTGAACAGGATATTCGAAAGTAAAATGTTTCAATACTGACTAGTGACCATTCTCAAATAATAAGTATTCAAAAGAACCGCTACGAAGTATCAAAGTATTTCTAGTTATCAAAATTTAAGTCATTTAAGCTATCTGGATATTTAAAAAAAGTGTTGTGATGTGAAAAAGTGGCTGATGCAAAGGGATCAAATATTTTCGTCCAAAAATTATGATTGTTTCAATATTATTACGGTGTGTTGTCCTTTCAGACACACCCTTTATGACCTATTTCTAAAGATAGAATATTAGAACCTGTGTCTTTTCCTTTAACGACGCCCGGGCAATCTGCAACAAAGGAATATAATCTTTAAACTTTATTATATAAAACATTTATTAATACTAAAGTGTTGCGTATTTGATGACATATTATACATTAAGATAGAAATCGGATTTCGAGAGATCAGACAACTACTTTCATCTCGCAAGAAATCTCTTGATCCAAGGGGAATTTTAATGTTACACTGAATAATGTGGAATGTACGAGTAGTTGACTCTAGAGAGGGCTAATGCCTTTGAAAACGTACTGTTATACGAGTTCTTGGGTTTAAGTTTTTAAAAAAAACTTATTTTAATTAGCTATATTTATTTGAAATGATTAATACAAAGATTTAAAACTCGTAATTAGGGTTGATTAAAATAACCGTTCTGGATAAGATCTCAAAGCAGACTGACTGCTACCAAACGGATGGAGACTATATCCCATACTTTATGATGACATGACTGTTTTAGCTTTACGATGACATGACTGTCTTTAATATTGTATTAGCATTAAGGCTTACAATTTAGGGGTATAACATCTCCCCCTTTTAGACAAAACTTATAGGGTAAATAAGTTTTGATTATATTTGTGTCCTTGTAGGAGCAAAATCTTTTATTTCTATTTCTGTATGTTTCAAGTCATGTTCTGTGGGGAGTTTATCTATTACGGTTATTTTATTCTTATAAAGTACCATTAAGTATTTTAAAAGTTTAAA